TGACCTAACCTTGATTAATTTCTATATTTGCCATTTGATTTTAAGTTGCTTATTTTCATGTGTTTCTACTATTATTTTCCATGCATTTTCATTTATGTGGCCAATAGATGATTGTGTTTAGTGATTTGTACATCGTTCGAGAGAAGATTGTGCATTTTAGACCAAATAGTAGGAACCCTATGTTTGTGTAATGGATAGAGATATACCATTAGCCCTAGGTGACCCAATGAGCTATTTTCACAATGATTGAATGCGATTGTTTGGTTGTAATCGACATAGAGATATAGTAGGTTAAACCAATCAATTAGGGTTAATCTCACTCGAGAGAGGTAATTAACTAAAATTGGAAGATCGGGTCTAACATAGTAAATGAGTAATTCATTAATTGGCTTGTAGAGAAATTAATTAGGCGATGGTTAAACGAAACCATGAATCCCAACCACGTTCTTCATCCGAAATCTCCAAGTATTTGTGTTTTTCTTATTTTGTAGATTTTTTAGTTTATTTACCGCTTTGCAAATCTAATGTTTAATTTTGTGTGTTTCATTTGATTGTTAGAATTAAATTTATTAAAGTCATGTAATCTAAAGTAAGATTTCTCGAGGGATCGACAACCTGGACTCAAAAAGCCCACTTTATTACTTGTATGCGACCCGTGCACTTGCGGTATATTTTCAAGCGAACAATCATTCCAGGTATTAGCATTGTTAGATATTTAGATGAAATGAGCATATGTTGCTTTCATTTTCCATCAAAACATTAGAACTTTGGTGTTGGTAGATGAGCGGCATCCTCATTTCGCCAATCCGATGGCTATAAGGTTTGGCATGTGCTAATGAAGACTAAGATGAACCATCATACTCGGTACAGTTAGTGTCCATAATCGTATGTTGGAGTTACTAGATGAATAGAAAGCCAATAGAGAGTAGAGTGGAATGCAACATAATTTGCACCACCAACCAATCATGCTTATGTTACTTTTGTGCTCTGGACTTTCGAGGTCTTTAGTTCTGGAAAAGCTTGTATTTTCTGGATTTCCTTCCACCATAGAAACTTTGCAACTCTATTCGGTGCATGAGTGCAACAATTTATGCGTCTTCGTTTTCGAACTTTATCAACTTTTAAATGGCAAAAGTCATTTGTCAAATTCGATCATTAGAGCCCAACATCACTTCTATGCCATAAGAAAACTCGGACACGAAACTGTCACTGGAAATGAAAGCATAATGATGAATATTCACCAAACTCTTGGACTTCTCTGCCAAACTAGAGATGACTTCTTGAAATTAAAGTTTTTCATCTTGCGTTTTGCTAGAAAATTTCCTCAAAAGGTGAAACAAATTGAGTTCTCCAAGTCTTCGTTTGGGCACAAGTTGCATGAAAGAGTTCAACAAGTGTCTTCTCAAGAGGTGTTATGATTTCCTTTGCCTTTTTTATTATTTTTTATGCTATGGTTGATTTAGTGGTTGAAAATTGAAAATTGTATGAGATCTAAAGATGAAAGGATTAGAAGGTCCCACCAGGCATGCTAAGAATTTTTTGCATACAAAATACAAAAAATGTTACAAAATGATTTTGATGAAATACAAACTAGATTGAACCTCTAGTGACTACGAAATTGCACGATCTTTTTATTGAGGATCATGTATTTGAAGATGAGCGGTCGCGTAGCTTGAATTATGAACTTGAAGGTTTGGTGGAATTTGATTTGTTAAAAACTTGACTTGTTTGAGACTTAGACTTGAGGTTAAATTTGAACTTTTTCTTACCTGAAATTCGAAGACACTTTGTTCTTGAAATTTTCGGCAATGCACTTAAGAGATTTTCTTTTCTTCTTCCTCCAGACTTTTGATTTTCTCCTACCCTTCAACTTATTATTTTTCTTGGACTTTAGGTCTAATTTGTAGATAAATTTGATAACTCCAATTATATGTATATAAAAAATCATTAATTATAAAATAGGTTTAAAAATGTAGGATGGAGTTTTAATTCGATATGAACTTTTAATGTAGGATGTAGGTCTGGGCATGGTTTGGTTTGGGTTGGTTTCGACCTCAACCCGAAACCAAAACCAAAACCAAAGTAGTCGGTTTGGGTGAATTTAAAACCAAAACTCACCCACTCTCTTTCTTAAACCGAACCAACCCAAACCACATCGGTTTGGTTTGGTTTCTCTGTTTGGATTTTTAGATAATATTGTATTCTAATTTATAAAGAATGGACGCAAATAGTGAACAAGAGATCAATAATTCAGACTCAAAATGTATATCCAAGTACCAATAACTAAAATAAAATACCAATAACCAATAAAATCCAAATTCAATCACCAATAAGCAACATGCGGTAGCATTGGAAATAAAATCCAAGTACCAATAACTAAGTCAAAAACCACAATATCATTTTGTTAACATCTAATGTCTAGTAAACTAAAATATCTAGGAAAGTGAAATGTATATCCAGGAAGGTGAAATGTATATCCCAAATGCCAATGCTCAAAAGTTTTGTTAACATCTAATGTCTAGTAAACAAAATGTTTATATAGTATTCAACAAGACTACTCAAATAAACAGCTTGAACACATCCACATTCTGGAGAACATCATTAAGCTTTTGATTGACTTTTCTTTTTTCAAAAATAAAATAAAATGGAAACATGTGTAAGTGGGTTGGGTTGGTTAACTAGTGGTTTAAGACTTTAAACCATGACCAAACCGAAATACCGTGATTTTATTTAAAATAAAACCAAACCAAACCAATAACTATGTCAAACCGACCCAAACCGACCCGAGTCGGTTTGGTTTGGTCGGTTTTTCGATTTTTTTGCCCACCCCTAGTAGGATGTGCCTTTTATATTTGGACTTCTTTTGAGTGGGTTTTAGTAGACTGAAGACTTTTAATGAACTTAAATTGGTTAATTATTTAAAATCGATTTAGTCCATTAATATTTTTTTTTCAACGTCCACGATGTTATTGAAAATAAGGTTGATGAAAAATAATTTTTAAATAAGTCGTGCCAAACAAATGTTATTAACCTCTGAATTTTATTTTATTTTTAAAATATCAGGTTTGTATTAAAAAAAATAGAAAATTGAAATCAAGACTTGAAAACCCAAAAATTGAGTCTTGACGGAGTGTCGTCATAACAAGTTAAAGGAAACATATTATCCCCAATTGATTCTATTATATGTGATTTTGGCTCAAAAGGAACACTAGCTAAACATTATTTTAACTGACTATAATGTATTGACCTGATCGGTAGCGGTTGATGATTTACTTTATCGAAAAAAATATTGAGTCTAAAAAGAACAGCTTATTGACTCCCCAAATAGTATAGAACATTCTTCATATATACAAGCTCTTGTAGCAATAAAATATTCTTGCTTAATATATATTACAACTATATCAAGCACACGTCTCCACGATATAAAACACTTTTAATAGGGTTATATATACAAATGTCAATATGACAACCATCCCCCAAAAAACCTATTCAAAACTATGAAATCAGATTGAAGGCTGAAAATAAATTAAAAGAGGGCTTTCTTCGATGATTTGATCCCTCAGTTATGCAGGGGATGGGACCATACAAATGGTATCAGTATAAAACTAGGTAACATGTCAATAGTTCTCCAAGTTTCCCAGAGTTTCGGCATATTGATCAGTAGAGTTGCTGAAAAATACGAGCCTCTATTTGTATAACTTTCTGATGGCATTCCTTGGGTATTTGGAAGCACTTTCTAAAAGTAAGGTCCAGGCCAAAGAAGGAAGAACAATCGTTTCACTTTGGCAGCTGAGGTAGCAGCAGGTAATGTATCGGATTGCAAATCCTGGTATGACGGTTCGACCGGGTCCTTGGCCTCGAGGAGTGGTGAGCAGCATCGCATCTGGAACTCTACATTCGTAAGGGTCTCTTTAATATCGTATCTAGAAGAATGGGGGCCTCCAACTCCCAGACTAGGGACAGCCTCCAACTTCAACCCAAAGCATCAATACTATGGCTAACTGGCTACAAGTATCTATTATATACACAATCTTTTCATGTATAATGTGCTTTCAGCTTTTGCAAAAACTCTAACGTATCTCTATACGAAGGATCAGCACGGCTTAAAGGCTTGCAAGAATTTACATGGTCTGTTGAATCCAACACCTGTATCGAGACAACAAATGGATTTATAACATGTTTGGCAGACAGGATTGTACAGTATTGGACAGGATTAAGGGGAAAAAAAAAAATATTCCTCTGTACTATGCAATACAATCTAGTACTGCACTTCCTAAAGGCCATGAACATGCTCTACAAAGAATAGTTTGAGTTCCGTAATAACAAGATGTGTCACTATGGAATTGTCTTGGTATATCCTTTATGGTCATAACTCATAATAGTTTATAAGAATATTGCTATCTAGCACCAGTCTATGTGGCATTATGTGATAAGTTCAATTAAAGGTGAAATTATGTAATTAACTATTCATTTTATGCCACTAACATTGTCACCTCAGTGGTCCTAAATAGCATTACTCTAGTTTAAAGAAAGTTGTTCTTACTTTTTATTCTTCTTTCCACAAACATGATTTCAATAAGATTATTCAGGAAACCACCGGTCAACTACGCTAGAAAAATACATGCAATCTCTAGTAAAGATATACCCATGGACCTTGCATTTTAGATGCATGTCCAAAACCTGCATGTCCTTAAATAAGAGTGGGCACCACAGTTTCCTTATCCCACCCAAAGGTCTCAACCATATAACAAATACTATATTTTTAAAACCTTGAAAAGTGGTAGATCTCATATACAATAAATTGGTAATGCCTAACATCATATGCTCTTGTCCACAGATTTTTGAGACGAGACCAAGAGATATCAAGCACTATATACTGATGTTAGAATACAGATACAATTTTATTTAGAGTATCGAAGTCCAGAAAACTTACAACAAGTTGACCAAATCCAGGATATGCTGATTCCATGGGTACAATCTCCATTCGAAAAGCCCAACCTCCATAGCCTTCCACAATTGGAGTTACCTTGGTCTGTTGAAATGTCAAAGGGAAGTCAAAATCACAATTTGCAGACACTTGGAAGAATTCAACAATTCACACAATATGAGTTCATTACCTCACAAAAACTGAGAACCTCAAGCATCTTTTTCTCGTGAAGACGACGGACTAAATCATTAAGCTCCACCAACCTAGGCGATCCACTTCTCAGTTCTCCTATCTGGCCGTAGCAGAAAAAATTGCTATCAGTATGAACTTCATATGCCTTGTAATTGTCAAGTTGGAAGGCTACAATTCAAGCACAGTTTGGGAGAAGAACGGAAACCATGGAAAGAGGACCCAATATATGAATGTCTAACACTTACAGAAGGTGCGGGGCGTAACACAAGACCCATGCGCCAAGGCATATCCGCAAGTTTGCTGCCAAAATGTGGACAGCTATAGAATACCTGAAAAAAACACAGAGAATTGTTAAGGAAAATATAAGTACAGAACTTATGGCAAGGTTAAACAGGCATACATGTTTTCATTGGGAAGGATGAAACATACAACTCCTACAGTATTGTTAACAAAGTTACTCTTGTTTTCTGCTTTTGCTTGATACAACATCTGCTTGACAACCAGGCCTCCCATGCTGCAGGAAGGATGGCAGCTATTATATTAGTTAAATCTTAATGCATTTAATCTGCAAATGCTTATAAATAGCCAACAAATAGATATACCACGACAAACTGGAAAAAAATTTATGTGATCAGTGGAGATCTTTTTGTTATTTGGTGGTCATACATATTTCATGATATGTCATGTTACTGTTCAATTAAATTATTTTGATCTGTGATTGGAATATAGTCATGTTTTGAACAGGTTAAAACTCACTGGTTTATCATTTTGTGAAACATGCTTTAGTGCAACCAAGCTTGGGAGACATACAATGTCATAAAAGTATAAATGAAGTTCTCTTCCCATGCAAAAAGCAGACTTTTTTTTTCTTTCTGTAACAGCTTAATCCCATACTAACTTTTCCACATGAGACTTTAGAGTCACTATTTTCATCCAGTCCTACATACATCAGCTCAATCTACAATGTTAGGTAACGATATTGAGCATCAGCCCCATGTTTTGCCATAAATTGATTAAACTTATATGAGATACATGCTTGGACCATTATTCTCTAACTCAAAAATTAGGGATCAGTTAACTCCATCACTGAATGAATCATAGCATGCAAGTCGAAGACAAGTGATAAATCTCCAATGTGCATTGCATTGAAATTCAAGAAAATGAGCATAGCCCAGAGTTAGCATGTCGTCTTGCCTATGTGTTACAAAGACAACAGGCCGATCACCAATGCCCGCATCAACAAGTTTCTCTAACAGCATGGAGCTTACTTCCTGCAAAATTTATATTGAAGTGGAAAAATAATGTATCTACAAAAATCATATAGCATCAAGCAAAATGCACCGAACAGAAGAACTACCAGAACATCAAGTGGTTCAGCAAAATGCATTGTTCAAAACAAAAGGGAAAAGAAACAAGAATAGAAAAGAGAGTAGCATGATGTCCCATATATACTTCTGCTAAAATGTTCCAAACAACTATAATCTACAGTGCTGCCTCAGTTTACGATCTTGTCAAGAATATAGAATAAGATTACAGAGATCGTCAAAGATTGCGATTATATTTACTTTCCTTTTAGTATAAGTTTACTTTCCTTAGTAGTAGATTACGTAATATTTCCTTTTATGTTTATTTCCTTTTACAGTTATTTGTAACCCTATAAATAGGGTCTTCTGCTTTGTAATAGAACAAGTTTATTATAATACAATTTATAATATTCTTCACATGGTATCAGAGCCAAATCTGTGCTAAACAAATTCACCCGTGAATTCCGTTTCCGGCGAGCAGCCGCCCTGGCTGCTCGCCTGGCCAAATTTTATTTTTTTCAATAACAGTAACATTCAAGAATTGGCTAAATCTACCTCTTCTTCTTCAGTCCAATATCTTCAGTTATGAGGTCCCTGTGTGACTTTGGGTTCAGTTGAAATTTGTCTATTTTCTTTGGATTTGATTCAGTGGATTGTTGGCCACTATTTCAATCTTTTGGCTACAGTTTGGAGTTTCTTCAGTTTTTGGTATATGTCCAGTTCATCTGGAATTTGGTCCAGGTATCTGGAATTTCGTCCAGGTTATCTGGAATTTGGTTCAGTTCATCTGAAATTTGGTCCAGTTTATCTGGAATTTGGTTTAGTGTTGGTTCGGAGTATCCGAAATTTGAGTTTCTCATCTCGTAGTTTTTTGGCCGGTATTTTGGCGTGTGTCGGCGCACGTCGTGAATTTCTTTTGGAAATTCTTCTTGGGGAGTATGCGTTCTCGTCGTCTTCTCGTAGTTTCTCGTGGTTTCTCGTCGTTTCTTTGGAGTGTTCTTGACGTCGTTTTGGAGTAGTTCTCTGTTGTTCTTGGTCTCTCGTCGTCAGTAATTTTCGTCGTTGGTTGCTTTGATTTGGATTTCTTCTTCGTGGACAAGTATCGTCGTCGTCGTCAGTTCATGATTGCAAATTGATACTTTTACCAGCATCAATTTGAGGGGGCTTGTCAAGAATATAGAATAAGATTACAGAGATCGTCAAAGATTGCGATTATAATATTTACTTTCCTTAGTAGTAGATTACGTAATATTTCCTTTTATGTTTATTTCCTTTTACAGTTATTTCTAACCCTATAAATAGGGTCTTCTAGTTTGTAATAGAAACAAGTTTATTATAATACAATTTATAATATTCTTCACATGGTATCAGAGCAAGGTTATGGGAGATTAATTCCATAAATTTTGTTCAAACAATTTTTTTTTCCTTCTTTAAAAAAAAAAAAAAAAAAAAAAATTCGGTTACTGTTCATCCGCGGTACTGTTCATACCGCGCGCGGGTACTGTTCATCCGGTTACTGTTCACCGCCGATACTGTTCATCCGTTCGTACTGTTCATCCGGTTGGTTTTTGGTCAGTGTTCAATCTGCTAATTTCAGATCTGCTTCTGGTTATTGGTTATTGTTCGTATGACAGTACTACAAATGTTCGTAAGTCTGGTTATGACTCTCACGTTCTTCGTTTAAACCCTACAGTTGTTTGTATTGTTGGTCCAGGTTATCTGGAATTTGGTTCCGTTAAATTTGGTTCAGTTTATCTGATATTTGGTCCAGTTTATCTGGAATTTGGTTTAGTGTTGGTTCGGAGTATCCGAAATTTGAGTTTCTCATCTCGTAGTTTTTTGGCCGGTATTTTGGCGTGTGTCGGCGCACGTCGTGAATTTCTTTTGGAAATTCTTCTTGGGGAGTATGCGTTCTCGTCGTCTTCTCGTAGTTTCTCGTGGTTTCTCGTCGTTTCTTTGGAGTGTTCTTGACGTCGTTTTGGAGTAGTTCTCTGTTGTTCTTGGTCTCTCGTCGTCAGTAATTTTCGTCGTTGGTTGCTTTGATTTGGATTTCTTCTTCGTGGACAAGTATCGTCGTCGTCGTCAGTTCATGATTGCAAATTGATACTTTTACCAGCATCAATTTGAGGGGGGATGTTAAGGATATAGAATACGATTACAGAGATCGTCAAAGATTGCGATTATATTTACTTTCCTTTTAGTATAAATTTACTTTCCTTAGTAGTAGATTACGTAATATTTCCTTTTATGTTTATTTCCTTTTACAGTTATTTCTAACCCTATAAATAGGGTCTTCTAGTTTGTAATAGAAACAAGTTTATTATAATACAATTTATAATATTCTTCACATGGTATCAGAGCAAGGTTATGGGAGATTAATTCCATAAATTTTGTTCAAACAATTTTTTTTTTCCTTCTTTAAAAAAAAAAAAAAAAATCCGGTTACTGTTCATCCGCGGTACTGTTCATACCGCGCGCGGGTACTGTTCATCCGGTTACTGTTCACCGCGGGTACTGTTCATCCGTTCGTACTGTTCATCCGGTTGGTTTTTGGTCAGTGTTCAATCTGCTAATTTCAGATCTGCTTCTGGTTATTGGTTATTGTTCGTATGACAGTACTACAAATGTTCGTAAGTCTGGTTATGACTCTCACGTTCTTCGTTTAAACCCTACAGTTGTTTGTATTGTTGGTCCAGGTTATCTGGAATTTGGTTCCGTTAAATTTGGTTCAGTTTATCTGAAATTTGGTCCAGTTTATCTGGAATTTGGTTTAGTGTTGGTTCGGAGTATCCGAAATTTGAGTTTCTCATCTCGTAGTTTTTTGGCCGGTATTTTGGCGTGTGTCGGCGCACGTCGTGAATTTCTTTTGGAAATTCTTCTTGGGGAGTATGCGTTCTCGTCGTCTTCTCGTAGTTTCTCGTGGTTTCTCGTCGTTTCTTTGGAGTGTTCTTGACGTCGTTTTGGAGTAGTTCTCTGTTGTTCTTGGTCTCTCGTCGTCAGTAATTTTCGTCGTTGGTTGCTTTGATTTGGATTTCTTCTTCGTGGACAAGTATCGTCGTCGTCGTCAGTTCATGATTGCAAATTGATACTTTTACCAGCATCAATTTGAGGGGGGATGTTAAGGATATAGAATACGATTACAGAGATCGTCAAAGATTGCGATTATATTTACTTTCCTTTTAGTATAAGTTTACTTTCCTTAGTAGTAGATTACGTAATATTTCCTTTTATGTTTATTTCCTTTTACAGTTATTTGTAACCCTATAAATAGGGTCTTCTGCTTTGTAATAGAACAAGTTTATTATAATACAATTTATAATATTCTTCACAGATCTAAAAACTTATTAATGGAAAATAATTATGGAACACTACTTGATAATTGGAAATTCAATCAACTAGCTTAAAACATCTGAAGTATAGTGGTGCACTCTGTAAATAATGGTCTATGTAGGAAAATGGAAATATATTCAATATAAAAGTAGTCAAGAGTTGAAAAATTATCTTGGCATGATAATAAAACTATGTAGATACAAAGACCAAGCTAATGGTGAGTCCACTCTACACTACTCAAACGTCTATCTGGGGATAAAGTCATCAAAAAATTGGATATAATGAAAGACAATGTATTCTGATGTTAAGCAGACAAAAATCATGAGTTTAACTCACAAAATAACATCTAACATGTATTAGTGAGGAGTTAAAAGATATACAAACCTGTAGAGGTAGACTTGCTCCAGACCACTGAGTAAGATTTGTCTGCATTGAGCAGTACATCAGAAATGAAAATATGAGAAAAGGTAAGAAAAAATCCACTGAAGACCTCTTAATCCATACAGCAGTAATTAAAATTGTAATCTGGTTTTATTTTGAAATGGAAGCAGATCATTTCAAACTCTAATTTATTAGATAATGGGGTGTGAAGTGTTCTGCAATGTCATAGAATTGAAAAGATCAAACCATACTAACCTTGTGTTTGAGACTAAACAAGCGGGCATGAGTAAAGTCAGCTGAAAGCCATTCCCCAGGCCAAAATGTTCCTTGTTTCCCAGCTTCTTCATCAATCTTCTCTACAAGGCCAGACTTTGTTGATGACTTGTCCTCAGATAACCGCCAAGATTTGAAGGGACCACCACGCAGACCATGGACAAAGACAATATCCAGTGGAGGAAACTCCATATCTGAGTTGCTTTTAAATCCAGATGTTGAAGCAGGAGAGCAATCAGCACCCAAAGCTTCATGCTCCCTCTCAGCAAAATCATCATCACCTGGAGATGATTTATCAGGAGAGGCTGGAGTTCTTTTTTCCATACACTTCCAATGTGGCAATTCAGGATTAATTAAAAATATGATGTCAGCATAGTGATTGCAAGTATTCTTTTTGTTCAAAGAACTCCCATCAGGAACATCGTCATTTTCAGGATTTTTACCAGCTTCATTACAACAAAATACATTTAATAATGTTGCCCTGGCATAACTCTGAATTTTAAGGTCAGTGCAACCCAGAATCTGCCCTTTAGCACATTTCTCAAGCCATTTACACAAATATTCATCTGCTACAATTTCTTTCTGGACCTTTGGAAGAACTGAAAGAACTGTTAGAAGCCTAGCTACGTGTCTACGAATGTGAGCAGTAGCAGGAACTCGTAAATTGGATGGACCAATAGTGTCAACCCCAGCTGACTCACCAGGGGCAGATGGCACTGGATCCTGTGCTTCCAGGGCTTTTGATGCATCATATGCTTCAATTGCAGCTAGTTGCTCATAATCATCTTCCAACAAAAGGCGTCTAAGTAAACACAGGACTCCAAAGTCAGCTATTTTGTTTTGACAGAGAAAATCTTCAGCACATATTTCCGTCAGTGCTTTAATCCCTTTTAGAGTGGCCAATGCAGAATCTGCAGCACTAATCTTTGGTGCTTTGTCTTTCTTAAGATACTTAAATGGTCCTGCAAAAGGTTCACGTGAGAGAAGATCAGCTAATGGAAATGTATCATCACTGTCAGTAGTTGTCCCCAATTGTGTTCCTGCTAAATCAACAACAGCACTTGCCAACTGATTTGTAGTCTGGGTGGCAGAAACAACATTTGACTGCTCAATTTGTGTCTGCAAAGATTAAGACACTTTCATGAAATCAAGTAAAAAGACAAGATTACTAGTGTAAAACTTGTAATCACAACTGAATTATGTAGAGTTATGTAATTGTTAGGTTCAATCTAGAATGCACCTACAGACCTTCACTTTATCACTTGTAAGCTGAGCATTTCCTTTTGTTAAGGATGTCTTCCTGCAGCTTAGAGCATCTGTTAACAACATAGTTAACCATGCTTGAGATATCAGTACGGAGGATGGCCCATAATCGTCAAGAATATGTGAAAGGATATTTATTGCTGAAGAACGGATTGTGTCAGAGCTGAACTTTTCAAATACCCAAGGAAGCAGAATGGCTGACCATTTTTGACTCTCTTCAAGAGACATATGCAGTTCCCCGGAACAAATTAATTCCAAAGCTTTTGCCAGCAATTCTTGGACAGGTTTATGCTTCAATGTTTGTTTAGCACTTTCTCTCATCAAATGAAGACCCCTGTTCATTAAAACTTCCCGTGATTTGGGGCTTCTCTCAATAGAAACCAGTAACGTGGACAAAGCCACTTGAGCCAAAGTTATGTCCTGAGTTTTGCTTGCATGAGAAATAGTGTTAAGAAGACTAGAACTCCAATCAGAAACAGAATCATTTAATGGCAGATTGCGATCCTCTAAGAGCAACCGAGCTACCAAACTCCCATGCCATTTTACTGATCTCTCAGGTGCCATCAAAGCACTCATGACTGCATGTCCATCCTGATCCAGTTCTTGAATATGAGAACGATTAACATCAGATGCCATTGCCCAGTTTGCTAGGGCCCATGCAGCAAATGGAACAGCCACATGTTCAGAATGCAAATCATCCCAAAGGCCAGGAACAACTGCAGAAGATAGATTTGCTTGAGCTGGAAATTTTTCTTTTATTTTGTTAAACAAGAGATTCTTTGGCGCACTTTTCTCTGTTCTTGAGTGATGGGCATCAGAATGCTCCATCTCTACAAACCCACTAGTTTGTGAAAGCCCTAAAACTGTGGTACCTCCAAGAACCTTGATTCCAATACCCTTCATTCCTTGATCACCATTATCATCATCTTCATCCCCGTGTTGCTCATCCCAATTCATTCCACCCTCCTCAATTACTTCAATAGCTGCTGCAATATCTCTCATTTTAGCATCTTTTGGTAGCAAGGGCTTAACAGATAACTTTTCCACGCTGTCACAGTTGGAAGTGACAACATCCATAATTGCTGCTACAAGCATGCTCCTGCCTTTCAATGAATCAGAAACATCGAATGAACTACGTGTGGACTGCTGCTACCTCAGAAATGCAGTATATCAATGTTAAAAGAAAATCGAAAATCATCATCAAAATCATTGCTAAAAATTCAAGTAATCCCCCCCCCCAAAACCTGCAAGGCTAGATATGCACAAATGTGCTGTATAAAAAAAATGGTATAAAATATTGTTGCACTACACAAACTGTGATCCAACTAATGGTATTGCATTTCAGTAACTTTCTTGTACAATATTTACCAGACCCTATTGCTATATAAATAAACAACCAAACTAACCCAAAAAGACAATCATCATCATCAAAACAAACACATTAGTAGAACATTATTACTCTTCTCCCTTCCAATTTCTCAAAACCTCCATAAAAGCGAATAACATGTTGATCAAAAACACCCAAAATCTTTATCAACATTGCCTAATATATTTCATACTGTTAACTAAATGGGTTGCCTCACTATACTATTATGTTGGGCCTTTAAGTGTAATGGGTTGTGGCCTTAATGTTTCAATGTTTTCAGCCTTACACGTGGCTGACTCTCTGCCCTTGGATTGCAACTGTTCATATTACTTGGTTGACTTGGTTTTTGGGAGTTTGGCATTCGAGAGTATTCCATTCTCTCTTCGTCTCTCTGTTTTTCCCTTTTCTCTGCTTTGTAACCATAATTGATCTTAGTGATTCATCAATCCTATTTCTTTGTGAATGTCTGTATATTGTATAGTCTAGGGGTTGATCTTGTGTGGTTTCGGTTTTGTATTGTTGAGGCGAGATTAACATGAGGTTTCTTCGAACATTTGTAATATTTCTTGATTAGTATTTAGTGGATCTAGAGCTATATCCTTTGTGGAGGTTCAATGGGTGATCAGGTCTTTGTGACTGAAATTCGAACCCTACAGATGTGGATGCTCAACAGGTGAGTAGGTCTTTGTGACTGAACATCCGGACCCTACGGTGTGAAAAATTTCGTGTTCAATGTTGTTTTTTTGATTCTGCACTTATATTGTTCTTTGTGATCTTCGATCCTTTGGTATCTATTGATTTGGGATCTTACACATACCGTAAAAACCAATCGCTTAAAAATCTAGTACATAGCATACTGCCTTAACCACCAATGCAAATGCTCAATTAGTGACAAAAATTAGCTAAAAGAGAATTTGATCAATTCACTTACACATTCACGATAGTGCAAAAGCTCAGTCATTGATAAAAAATTATCTAAAACAGAATTTGATCAATTCAGTACAAATTCACTCCAGGCAAAATACCAAAGAAATAAATTGAAAGCACTCACTTTCTTTAATCGTTGAGGTTGAGCAGAGAAAATAAACCTCAACAAATTCGGAACAGCATCAGGCCGTGCAAAGACGGCCTCGTTCACATTGGCATCCGCAATTAAGTACGCTAATGCCCTCGCAGACTCGGCCTGCGTCCCATTCCCCTCTTTGGGCATGGCCACTGTCTCCAACAGCCAATCCACCACCTTACCCCCACCTGCCTCAACAATGGCCGCTCTCCTGTTCTCGCTAGCAGCCACAATGTCGGCCAACAAAGCTGCCACCCGAAGCTCGAACCCTGCCCGAACCTCGTGGTTGGCAGATGACATAACCGACCTTAAAGACTGGCAGAGCACCGACGCCGCTGCCCCCGTCTGCTTCATTCTATTCAAAATCTTATTAAACGATTCATTTGACTTTTCAATGACATTTTCAATTTCTTTGTACAATAAATAAGACTTCCTGTTACTGGGTCCCGAAACGGTGTCATCTTGGGTGGGAATAAGTGTGCAGGAAACAACCAGCAGGGTGGCGGAGAGGGCCGCCAGTATGGAAGTTTTGGACAGCAAAGAGGAGGAGGAAGATAGAGGGGAAGGATGATGATTCTGGTGGTGCACGGCTGGAGGAAGAGGGGCATTTTGGGAATTCTTCAGATTGTTCAGGGCATCGGTGGAGTTTTCTGAATTTCGTCCGGAGGAAGATAAGGCGCGGCGGAGGTTGGGGAGGCGGATATTCCGGCGAGATATTATGTACATACGAAGCATAACTTTATCTACGTGGTGTGGCACCGGCGCCGGAAAATTGAGGGTACTTCGGGAAGAATCTTGAATTCAAAGATGCCGGGAGAAGAAATGCCTTTTTTTAAAAAAAAAAAAAAAAAAATTTGTTGGGTTGGAGGGAATTTTCTTGAGAAGATGCGAATCGGCCACTATGTACCGTCACCATTTGACTATTTATAATTGTAAGGCATAATTGCAGCAGTGGTATCAAACCTTTCTTTTAGTGGTAAATTTTGTCCAAACCTTTTATTTGTACCATTCACGGTGCCAAACATTTCAAAATATCGCAGCTGAAATCCAAATGAATGGTTTCTATTAGTTTGACCGTTAGTTGGCCAAATAATTAATTTTGACAATAATTTTGACTGATTTTAAAATGTTAAAATGGTAATTTTACATTTTTTAATAATAAAAATAATCAAAATCAAATAATTAAACTTAAAAACATATTCCACCTTCTTCTTCTCCTAAAACAATTGAATCTCTCGTGGAGAAGAAGAATGTGGAATGTGTTTTTAATTTTAATTATTTGATTTTGGTTATTTTATTATTAAAAAATATAAAATTACCATTTTAACATTTTAAAATCAGTCAAAATTATTATCAAAATCAATTTATTTGGTCAACTAACGGCAAATTAACAGAAATCATCAATTTGGACTTCAATTGGGACATTTTGAAAGGTTTGGTACCATGGGCGGCACAAATAAAAGGTTTGAACAAAATTTGCTACTAAATGAAAGGTTTGGTACCGCTGCTACAATTATTCATAATTATGATTTTAGATAGGGAAAATTGCAGCAACAGTCTCTAACCTTTCAATTTTTTCAAACTTTACATTAACCTTCATTTTGTGCCAACCTGGGCTTCAGGATCGTTGTAAGGAACTATGTCACTCGTATTTAAGTCCACGTCAAGAAGCATAGCTACTTCACCGTACTTCTGGAGTCGTTGGGTGAAGGTTGTGCAAAGAAACTCCAACATACAATTGAATTCCAATGAGATGTCAAGTTTAGACGGCGGAGTAATAGAAGGGATTTGGTGGGTTGTAGAGGGTAGAAATGGTGAGAGTTCATCAATGGGTTTGATTTTGGGGGGTGAATTTTTTTTTTTTGGGATGTCAGTATATGAAGAAGAATTGGGTTCAGTGTATAGATATTAGGTCTAAACAGGGTACAATCAAATCCATTTTCAACAACTTTCTTCAAGATTTTGTGGAGGAGGGGAGGGGTAGGGTAGGGTAGGGTAGGGTAGGGTGGGGTGGGGTGGGGTGATGAACAGTTTTGTTCTTCATTTTTTTAATTATTTTATGTGGAAAAAATATTAAGTTACCAACTTAAACTTTTTAATTTAGTCAAATTCTATTATTCTTGGTCAACTAACGGTATTTGGACCCTAGGTGCATATTTTTGAAAGGTTTGGAATTGTGGTTGACACAAAGTAAAATTTAAGGTAAAATCTGAAAAAAAAAGAAAATAAAAGATTAGGGACTGCTGCTGTAATTCTTCCTTTAGGAAATTCATTTTTTACTTTTTACTTTTTAGGCACTTTAGGGACATTACTAATCCAACCGCCATGGAAAATTTAGAGATGTTTAGCTGTGCTTTTAAGAAAAATGAGATTCAAGTAGAAGCTTAATTGCTCGACACCTTCTCAAGTAGAGTCAAGAAAATTTTGGACTCTTTTCGAGAAAAGGCTAAATAGATATTGGACTCTCGAGATAATATTGAGCAAACAAGTAGATAGTAAGGTATGAAACATGTGACGTGATTTGTACGTAGAAATATGAAATACTTCTTGAGAGTTTGTTGAACTATTACTATTTTGACAAGTATGTGGGTGCGACTCTATTTTAAAAGGATTGCTAGACGTTTCTTTGTAGGTTATTATCCTTTCAATCATTTGGGTGATAGGTGCAACCATTTTGCAGCATAGGGTTGTATCCTATATAAAAGTTAATAATATACTACTTCAACAAATAGCTCGTAATGTTATGTCTCTTTCAAGATCGAGATCTTTTATCATTACTTCTACTTGTTACATGCCTTGATCTACTATTGTACGAATAACAGTTCTCGATTGAGATCTCAGTATGTACAATCATTCATTCAAATATCTATGATTGTACACTTTTGTGTTCATCAAATCATTGAATGTCTTGTCATTGAAATTTAACTTCATTATAGTGTTTAAGTTTTTGATCTAGACCCAATTGACGTAAATAATCATTTATTAAGTCATAAAGAAAACATAGAAAATTAGGCCTCATACGGCCAAATTTTGAAAAAGTTGAAATTTATGTCTTCGCCCTAAAAAAATTGAAATTTACATCCTTGAAGTATTAAATTTCTCTTGGGGAAAAACATAAATCTTTTGCTATAGAAAATGAAACCATAATTCTCACTGTGGTTTTGGGTGAGGGTTCAATTTTCATCTTCACACCATAACTTTGCGAGTTTGGATGAGTTGGTGTTCAATCTTTATTGTTTTCACCCTATATAGTCAGATCCATGGTTGAAGAATGTGAATTTACTGTTTGCAAGTTGAAATTGACCAAGAGGAAACAAGGTGTTGCTGAAGGACCTTAGAGAAACATCGATTTACGGCCTTATAAACCAAAGGTTAATTTTAATTTTTTTTTTTTTTGGTATTGTTTTCACTGAGTCTTTGGTAATGTTTATATAAATTGCATTGTAGATGAAGGTCTTGCTCTGACAAAATGAGATATAAATGCATTGTACAAATTGCTTCTAAAATTGTTTTATGGGAGTTATTATTATACAATTCTTGTAAATTTTGAAAACAATCCAAAATAAAATGAGATATAAATGCATTTGTATTACCCGGGTTTTTTAAATCCTATAGTATTAGATTATTATCTTGTAAATTTCCATTTGTACTGTGAATACCTAAACCTTGCTAATTTAACCAACTTGTCTCGAATATACGCTAGTTAGTCAGAACTTCCAACAGGTAGTTCTACACACAGTTCTGACTGAAGTAGTTTAACTATTTTAAGGTTTGCAAATAATAATATATTTTATGATTAAGTAAGAAATAACATAGATATGGCAAGAAGAACTAATCCATTGATCAAAATGCAAAAAATACAATAATTTCGGTTTAGTAATTTTGCAAAATGAACTAATATTATTTTTCTTGTAATTTATACAAAATCGTGTTAGGCTAGATCTGTTAGTGTATTTGATGAAGTTGAACTCTATTATTTATGTATTTTAATTGAAGACTAGTAGTTTAGTTAATTCATGCATATCTTAATTAATTTCGCATTCTCATTGCATTATTTAATTGAGTAGCTAACATTTAGATAATTATTTGCTTACTATAGTGCTGCAAAGTTCACAATAAATTTCGAACGTGACAAGATTAACATACTAGTAATAGATGTTAGGAATAACAATATTTCAAATGTGATAATCTAAATAATCGTGTAATTTAATACGTTTTAATAATTCAAATTCGGATTAGGAATATGATTGGGTCGTGATTAGAATAAATTTAATTTATCTTGAAAAAAAATTATATATCTTAACTTTATCGATTGTCAAGAATACATGAATAAAACTAGATTATATAATCAAGAATTTAAATAGATAAAAATAGGAAGATTCTAAATCCAATACAATCATTTCATTTATTCATGCAAATCCAAGTTTTACCTATTTTTTTATATTAATTGAAATAATTACAAACAAAAACTTTTTCGTGTTACACATAATTAGAATTTAATACAGGACTAGTAAACTTAAAACGAAATTTATTCTCTGTGGGACGATACTCTATCTCATCACATTTATTACTTGTCAACGATATATTCCATATTCTTGTCGGTTTAGCTCGATCATAAGTGTATAATATCGTGCAAGAAATAAAGTGGACATAAGAGTTCGGATTATCATTCCCACGATAACTATTATTTAGTTGTTGATTTGATTATGTCAAACTTCTATTCGATTGAAAATAATTAACTGTAATTCTTTTTAATTTTTATTTTAAAATAATAAACACGTATGTAGGTTAACTTTTTATATGATGGTTTAAGTGTTAGAATTTACGAGTTCATCATAACTATCCGCTTAATTTTAATCTCAAATTTTGATAACAATTAATTGTGTGTATCTAGTCGAATTCTTTTAAATTAATTGATTTTTACCTCTCTTGAGTTGAAACCAATCACATTCAATTAAATCAACCCACAATATCTCTATATGAATTCGAATACGCCGTAATCTATATCATTTATTCACCAAAGAATTCAATTAATGATCGTGATAACCATAAAAGCACATCTCTGCCATTTTATTCAAATTAAGTTACAATTGTTCGCCAAACTAATCAGTTAATTACACAACACGGAAGAAGGAAAATACAAAAATAAAAATAAAAAAATAAATAAAGTGCATCATTGGGTTATGAAGAAATAATGAAGAAATTTTGATGATCTTGCATCAAGAATCTTTTTTTTTTTATTTCCAAGTTAAGAACTTGAAAACCTACTTTCTTAAATTTTTTCTTAATTTTTCTCCCTCTTTTCTCTAATATCTCTATAATTTTATATAATGGATACTCATTATTTTTTTACCTAACTAAAGTCATTTTATAAGATGCTCTATTGGACTAACAAGATACAACTTATTTGAATTTTATAATTAAAAGAAATCTAGGAAGAATTTTGGGAATTGTGCTTTGAAAAAGAGTCCAACGAATCAAGAAAACCCAACTAAAACAACAGATTGAGCCACACTGATCGGACCAAACCAAAAGATGGTCTACATTTGCTTGCAAATCACCATGAATCGCGGCAAACTAGGAGTTTAGTCAGGCTGCAGTCCAGTCGTTGTTGCAAACCATGATTGATGGCGATCAACCTCGAATTTTCCAAAATGTTTCAATTTGGTCCCCAAATAATTTTTGTCTAATTTCGATCATTTTCATTCTAAGGGCGTGTTTGATACGCATTATTT